GCATTGTACTTTCCGATGGATGTGTACCTCGAAATTGGCCAGGGTCATAACATTGGTATCAGAGCGGATTCTACTTGTTGGTGAGAGTTGACTTTGCTGCCCTAACCCTAACCTAAGTGGTTGAGGGCAACACTTAGGGTTAGGGTTGGTTGGTGAAGGGAATTGGGGCAGTGTGGTTGAGGGAAGCTGCCCCCACCTAGTTAGGTCATGTGGGGTCGACATAGAACCTAACCAGGTTGCTTGAGAGAGTGAGATTAGGGCGGCGAGACAGTTCGAGGAGACTTCATGCGGCAATTTGAGAGAGGCGACAGTGAGAGGCACTCACACCTCGAATCTGATTCAAGGGAGGCACTTGGCAACTTAAGGGTTGCCCTCAAGTAGGCGAGCCTGAGGGTCAGCGGCCACTCAGCATCTACGGACTGCAAGTTGCTACTTTGTTCTTCAGCATCGACGAGGGATCCGGCGTTGCACTTTGGTGTTGGAGTGTGTTGGAGTCAAACCCTCCTAGGAGATAGGACACTAGTGTAGGGGTAGCGTTAGAGGGGTCAGGAGGACCACATGAGAGGGGGGGTGAGTTCTATTCATCTCGAAGCTCAAGGCCACTCAGGTAAGTGTCGTGCACCTACGGGATGCCCATGTATGTGTGTATGGTATTGATTGTCCTACTGGGGTACTCTGGGTTTCTTTTCCTACTCCTCTGTGGTCTTGATTGTGTGACTAAATGCATGTGATCTACCTACTCACCTGATGGATGGAAAATGAAGTATCTTGACCTAAATGTCGAGTCTTTCTACAGTGCTTTGTCTTTTCATCTCTGAACGGTTGTAATCTGTAGGTTCTGCCAGAAGTTGAAATTTTGTTTTTCAGTGCAGTAGACCCACGTGGTTGCGACCTGGTTGCGACCGACGTGGGACCTTTGCGGCCGACGTGGGACCTTTGTGACCGACGTGGTTGCGACCTGGTTGCAACTGACGTGGTTGCGACCTGGTTGCGACCGACGTAGGACCTTTGCGACCCACGTGGCAACGGTTGTAATCTGTGGAAGTCCTCTTGGTTGGGACCTGGTTGCGACCGACGTGGGACCTTTGCGACCCAGCGCGACCGGGCCCAAACAAGAAGAGCCTTTGGACCCAAATCGGTTAGGCATTGACCCCTTGTCTTTTTCGCTGGGATACGGGATTAGGACACCCATTGCCGAGGGGATCTTGGCTGAGACGTTTCGCATGTCTTTTGGTTGCACTGTCCGTGGCTTGTACAACACTCAATTCTCCATTGTTGCATTTAGTCACTCGTTGTCTGATTTGCTGTACGGTCACGGAGCTGGTCAGACTGGACTCGAGATGTCCGTATGCACTTTGATCAGACTGGGTCGCTGGATCAGACCTCTCATTTGAAGTTGTTTGTTTTTCTTTGGTTTGCTGCTCTCTACGTCCAAATGAAATGCCGCTCCGGCTAGAAGTTCTACCTTCACTTCTCTGAGCTTTCAAGTCTGTTTTTCTTTTCATTTTCGATGCCCGTGGAGACCCGCCGCCAGAGAGAAGAGAGAGAGAGGAGGGAGAGAGAAAAGGGAGAGAGGGAAAGTGACCGTCTAGAGTGGGCAAGGGCTGGGAAAAGGAGCGTTCGTCCAAGTAAGAAGGGGAGTGAACCTCTTGAGAGTCTAATTGATTCTTTTGTTGTTTGGCGACTCTCTGGCCCACCTGTCAATACTAACGGTCCAAAAATGGCTCAGCTAACTTCAGTGCAATGGCGGGCCTTGTTAGATGCAGCCAGTGATGCGGAAAAACCATATCTACAAGCACTCTTAGATAGTGCAACCAAAAGGGAACACGAGGCAGAGAAGGAGAGGAAGGAGACATTGCTGAAAGGGCAGGTGGCCATCCTAGAGAATGTTCCCTCATTGACTAAAGAGCAGTGTGGGGAACAGTTGCAGTCTATACTCACCGCCCTTGTTCAAGTCAGGAATCTTGAAGATCAAAGTCTTCGCAAAGTTGCAAACACTTCAGGATGATTAGACTGATATGACCCACAAGTACCAATAACTGACCAAGGAGGTGGCTGAGTTGCGACAAGCCCAAGTGGCCAACCCTCTTCCTCTACCCCCTGGATCTGAAGCTGCAATTGAAACTACCTCTGCCTCTCTTACAATACCTTCTTCCTTGAATGTGATGGCAACCCCCTCGGGACCTGCAACAGGTGCAGATTCCGCTGTTGGTGTGACAAGCAACGAGGCTGGAAATTCTGCAACTGCAGCCCCAACATTGGAACCAGCACCACTATCACTGGAGAGAGTGTACCAGCACCACTATCACTGGGGGGTGTTCCGCTGTTGGTGTGACAAGCAACGAGGCTGGAAA